GAGGGGGGGGGGGAACGGAAAACTCAAAGCTGTCCCTTCTGTCCACAGGACTGGGATTCGCTCTGTCCTACGCCCCCTGTGTCGTCATGGTAGGCTGCCACTTCCGGAAGTATCGAAGCGTCGCCAACGGCATCGCAGTGTCCGGTTCTGGCATCGGTTCGTTCGCGATTCCGAATCTTATCCGGTTCCTACTAAACAAATACGGCTTATTCGGATGTTTGATCATCCTTGCAGCCATCTTGTTGAACATTTCTGTCTTCGCATTGTTGCTTAGACCTTTGAGCAGTTACGTCAAAGCAGAAACTCTTCAAATTCAGCCGGAATCTTCACCTTCGGATAAAGGAGAAGAAGAAGAGAAATTCATCGATGGCGGAGAAGAAAAAACAACAACTGCAACCACAGAAAACGAACAGGACAAAACGTCGTATCTCGAAAAAGCACACTTTTGTGATATTCCAGAGGTGGAGTATATGGAGCAACAGCAGCCAAGTGGGCATAATAACGATACCGTGACTTACGAGCTAGATGACCGCTCGCCTCTGTCCATTTCCCAGACCTCCCTCCACAGACGACAAAACCGTCGACCTGGCGCAGTCGCAGACGCGGTGGCGGGAAACGGAGACGCGTCCAGGGATAGATACACTAGTAACGGCGACCTGATGTTCGCGTCTCTGCAGAGTATACCCCAGAAGGAGGTAAAGAAAGCATCAGCGAGGACTTGGAGCAGGATTCAGAACGTGGTGTGTTGTAGAGGGAACGGCCCAGGTGGGAAGCCCATTTTTGATTGGTCGTTGTTGAAGAACCCGGTGTTTCTGGTGTATTGGTTCTCCGTGTGTTTCGGCAATATGGGCTACCCGAATGTGTTCATCATGCTCCCGCCTCATGTGGAGAGTGTAAGTACAACCTTTCTTTATAATTCAAAATATAATTTGTTTTACACGCATGTAGTTGTTATTTACGTCCTCGTCGACACAATATAGATCATAATGCATGATGTATTTTAAGGTGGGTTTCGTCTCTGCCTGTCAGGGCCTACCTGGGCTGAGAGGGTAAACAACGTCCTAGCTGAAAGAACGAGGGAGGTACTCGATAAAAGTTCTCCCCACGAGGGAATCGAACTCTGGTTGGTCTCCTGCGTGTCACGCGAAGTGCCTAACCGTTACAGACGCCGGTGTTTTTTTTATGTTTCTGTTTTCCGTGTATGGGGGCACGAAGGTGTTCATCATGTGGATAGTGTCAGAGCATCCTTTTTTGTGTGTGTGGGGGGAGATTCATTTTATTTTCAGTTGTAGGTGTTTTTACACCCCCAAGTTAGACATGTGGACTTTAGGCACGTCGGTAAGGTGTGGTACATGA